TGTATGTAAATTTTTCTTAAATTATATATTTTTGTTTTTTTTTTCTTTTTCCAATTTAAACTGCTTAGCCAAGATCATCATCTCTGCAACCTATAAATGATTATTAGAAAGTTTTAAGTGTACTCATTTGGATGACATTGCTTATAAATGATCGAGAACAACTAGTATATTGATCAAATTCTACCCGCTCAATCGCTCGAGCATCGCTATGAAGCACAATGTCAAATGATTTAGTTGACTCCTTTAAAGGAGATTTGATAAAGAATTGAATTCGAAAAGAAACTCGTTAGTAGATGCCAGAGAAAAAAAATAAAATCAAAAAGAAATTGTCAAATATTTGAAAAGTAAGGAATAAAAAACATGAAAGAAATCATAAATACAAGACAAGTTTGTCATTTAGTGAGATTCATTCACCCCCATAGCCACACATGGATTAAATGTTTGCTAAACTTAAAAAGAAATATTAAATATCAAGAAGGCAAAACTCAAGCAAATATAATAATTATATGAAAAATTAAAAATAATTAATGAATATTTATAGATGATACTCTACCAACAAACTTTCATCCTCCGACACAAATCTCTAGGCATTGACACGAATCTCAAGACAATTTTTTGAACAAAAAACATTCAGACTTCAATTAAGAGTTATCCAGATCTCCGATTTCAATGAACTTATGGTCAAACTCATTGGCTTGATGAGACATACTTAATAATATAAAAATTGGTCTAATCTGAGCCAAATCAAGTCATCAAACCACCATTAGAAGATTTTCATACACATTTGGAAAGTCAAAAAGATGTCGAATTGAGTTTCTCGACAAGACGAATCCAACTAGCCCAAGATTGTTAAATTTTGACATTGTTAAGACACTCAAATGTCCATCACCAGTCTTCTGATCGAAGAAAGCTATCTGGACGACAGTCTGATCAAAATGATTTGTATTTTTACATTAATTGCACTCAAAATACTATAAATAGACCCCCACCCCTCACATGAGGAGGGAAAACTTGAGCATTGGGAGAAAACTTATGACTTTGAGAAGGAGTTGAAGTCCAGCACCTTCCTTGCCATCGTCAATCGTCGCCGGCCTGTCACGTTCCTCCATATTCAAGAAAGTGGCAAGACCCTCATGGGATGTAAAGTTATAGAGAGTGCCAGAAAATAGAGAGTATCCAAGGGACTCTAGAAGATTCCACCATATTCCAGAGAATGTTAGAAGGGAAAGCTCCAAGAAAAATCAAGAGTAACCTAAAAAGTTCTAGGGTTATGTATGTACATAAGAAAGAAGTGCAGAACTCTCTAAAAGCTAGAATAATCTAATGTATTCTATAATGTTCCATTAGGCTTTGAGGGGGCTATAAATAGGAGCCCCTCCCCTCATTTATAATCACTCAAACATTCAATCAAAGCTTCCAAGCATTCAAGTGTGAAGTGTTCATTTCTCTCTATTATTCTTCTTAAGAGTGCTTGGTGCTCACAAGTCCAAGCATTGTAAGGATTAAAATGATTTAGTACTAAAGCCGCACGGGTGACTTGGAGAAAGTTAGTCCGTGATAGTTGGTATCATAGCGTCAGTTCGAAGGAATGGCAAAAAGCATCAAAGAGCACGTGACGGAGTCGGAAGCCACTGATGTGCAGCCATCTCAAGGGCGAGGTCCCCAGAAGCAAGGAAATCTCGTTTCATCGAAGCCACGTGGGAGGTCCAAGGAGATCATGCATGGCTTTGATTCGCGCCTTGCTCGGATGGAGGAGGCAATTAATGACATGGAGGGCTAAGTAAAGGAACTTGGTCAAAGGGTTGATGGACTAGAGGAGGAGGACACCACCATCCATTCAACGATCAGAGGTATGATGCTCCAACTCGATGAGAACTTAAATGGGTCATATGACTAAGTTGCAAGAGGATTTGTTGGGGAAGCTATAGGGGGTGCAAAGAGGTTAAGAGGAGGAGAAGAGCGACGTGCGTGCTAGCTTGGAGGAGATGCATGGAGACATCTCGCTGTGCAAGAGGGCACTAGCAGTATCCACAAGCCATCTCACTTTCGAAGCTAAGATGATTGAAATTTCCAAAACCTATGAGTTTTGGAGGGGTTCGCAACGCTAAGGAAGTAGACAACTTCCCATGGGAACTAGAGCAATGCTTTAGAGCGATGGGGATTGTCGATGAAGATGCAAAAATATAATTTGCCTCTGTTAATCTCTCAGATATCGCTATGCTTTGGTGGAGAAGAAGAAAATGAGATATAGAGAAAGGTTTGTGCTCCATGTCCACTTTCAAAGACTTCAAGAGAGAGCCAAAGAGATAATTCTATCCCAAGAATGTCGAGGATGAGGCTCGAGCCCGACTACGAAGGCTTAAGCAAGTGGGTTTGATTTGAGACTACATTAGGGATTTTACTAGCTCTGTTCTTGAAATCTCAAATATGTCAGACAATGATGCTCTCTTCAACTTCATGAATGAACTCCAACATTAGGCAAAGATCGAACTTAGGAGGCGAGGAGTGCAAGATCTTGTCACTGTCATCGCGACTGCTGAAAGCTTGACTGATCATTCAAAGGAGTCTAGAAAGCCTGAAGATATAAAGAGTTATGATGTCAAATGCGGGGATGACAAAAACAAACACAAGCAGCTGAAACATCACGAATCAACCCCAACAAAGGTAAGGGACAATGTGAAGACTAACAACAAGCCATATCAAAACCACAACTTTCTTTGAGAAGTACCTCATTGGGCAAGGGATTGGCCTCATAAGAAAACACTTAATTCTCTCCTTACAAGCCATAAGGAGGAAGAAGAACGTTACGGGGAAAATGACATTGAGGCATATGTGGGATCTCTTCAACTGCTGAACGGGACGCAAGCTCTAACAAAACCCCGAGGGAAGGGGTTACTCTTTGTGGAGATGACAATAAGAAGGAAGACCACCAAGGCAATGGTAGATACAGGTGCTTCCCATAACTTCATCTTCAACGAGGAAGCAAAAAGGTTGGGGTTGCAGATGAACAAAAGGAGGGGGCTCCATTAAAGTCGTCAACTCAGCAGAGATGTCAATCGACGAAGTTGCTAAGGGAGTTAAGACCAACATTAGGGCATGGTCAGCTACACTAGACTTCTTTGTCATTCCTTTGGATGATTACAAAGTTGTCATAGGAATGAACTTCTCAGAGCAAGCCAGAGCATTGCCAATGTCATTTGCCAATTGCCTAAGCATCACGAAAGGGAATCAAGCTTGCTCAGTATCGATAATAAGTTTAAGCAAGCAAGGATGCAAAACACTATCGACAATCCGACTCAAGGATGGCATTGATCAGGACAAGGGGGACAACTTAGCTATCCTTCATGATACCAAATGGAGGAAAAAAGACCCAAGGAGTTGGGATGCTAAAGGAAAGTGGTGGAGGTTCTTAACGAACCACAACCAAGAAAGAAGAAAGATGGTTCAACAAGGTTGAAGGCATGGGATAGGCCACCAGCTAGGAAGACGTGTTGCATGACATCACTCTCCCATAACTACAAGGAGAAACCAAAGTTTGCCAAGTCTGGAGGCAAATCAAGGAGGTAGTTTCGAAGGTGCAGGGGAAGCCGCAATGAGGGCATTGCAGGTTTTAAGTGGAGGAGAGTGTTATGCTCCGCCATATTCTAGAAAGTGGCAAGACCCTCATGTAATGGAAAGTTCTAGAGAGTGCCAAAAAATAGAGAAGCATCCGAGGGACTCTAGAAGATTCCACCATACTCCGAAGAATGCTAGAAAGGAAAGCTCCAAGAAAAAATCAAGAGTAGCCTAAAAAATTTCAGGGTTATGTATGTACACAAGAGAGAAGTGTAGAACTCTCTAGAAACTAAAATAATCTAATTTATTCTAGAATGTTTCATTGGGCTTGGAGGGGGCTATAAATAGGAGCTCCTCCCCTCATTTATAATCACCCAAGCATTCAATCTAAGCTTCCAAGTATTCAAGTGTTAAGTGTTCATTTCTCTCTACTATTCTTCTTAAGAGTGCTTGGTGCTCTCAAGTTCAAATGTTGTGAGAATTAGATTGATTTAATGCTAAAGGAGAGCGCTAAAGCTGCACGGGTGACTTGGAGAAAGTTAATCCTTGACAGACCACCGTCAACCATCGCCGGTCGCCGCCGACTATCGTTGACCACCACCGACCGTCGTTGACACCCATCGATCATCGTCGATCACCGTCGACCGCCGTTGACAACTATTAACCTCCGTCGAGCACTATCGTCATTGTTAACCATCACCAACCATTGTCGACTACTATAGATCACTGTCAATCACCACAAATCGTCGACGATCACCATCAAACGAACGTTATCAATCGACATTGTAACTTAAAAAATCTAGTAGACATTTCCCGCCCGTGGGACAAAAGGGATCTCTGTAACCTTCAATCAATAGTGAATATTTACAACTGAGTCAATCCCCGTGATTTTTTATTTTACGGGTTTTCCATGTAAAAATTTCTAGTGTCATTTCTTAATACTTTTCTTTCACATGAGTGTGTGTTGAATTCTTATGCAACACTTAGACAATAATCTATTATTTTAAGACCGTAAATTTTCTACGAAGCATTAATGGCTAAATAAAATTTTGATGACTTATTTGTAAAAAAAAAAACAATTTTTGTAATAAATAATCCAATTATAATTTTTTAACCACAAAACCAATACATAAAAAGCATAATACAAACTTCCCGAATTTATAATTTACAAAAAGAGAAAAAAAAAAGAGATAGTAAAAAAGGAACCCACATGTAAATTATGCCTAAAAAATTAAATAACTGTAATTAAACGTTTTCAATTTTTTTAAAAATAATAATTTCACACACAACCAAGGCAGCGCACACGCCACGCAAGCGCGCGCAGACACTTCCTCGAAGCGGCGGCTCCTCCCGGTCCGCTTCGACCGGTTTCACGACAAT